AATAAGTAATACGGAGTATTTTTTTTTGAACATTTTGCCTCTATTTTCAGCTGCAAAAACTGGAATTAGTGTTTGTCTTTAAAGCAATTTTTTATTCATTAATTTCAATTTTAATTAAAGATGCTTTATGTTAACTTGTTGTGTGTGCAGAAATTACTTACTTTTATGGCGATGCTTTCATGAAGTCGAAAGTGTACAAACTCAAGCATCTTAAGTTCAAATTGGAATATCAAATGGAACACAAGCTGCAATGTTCAAGTTTCTTCCCACAATAATTCTTCCTCTCAAAGCTCTCAAGACTTGCATGAACACTTTTTATCCCATTAGACATGTTGTTTTTAGCTTTAAAATATTTTGTACTCATTTTAAACAATATGGAGTATTACTGTGTATGTATTTTTTGGAATACTATTATGGTGCACTACATTTTAATGTGGGTTATTATGAAATACTCGGTATTTGTTAAATTTTTTCTATTATTTCATTGTATATATACTCCCTCCGTTCTTTATTATCTGTCCCGGGTTTTAATAGAAAAATAGTAGGGTAAATGTAGAGTGTGTAGGGTAAATGATAAAGTAGGAAATAGAATATATTAAAAAGAGTAAAGTGGTAATAAAGTGATGATAAAGTAGGAAAGAGAAAGTAGTTTGTAAAAAGTAAGAGGGGTAAAAGTAAAAAAAGTGGGGGTATTTTATCAAAAACTTTCCTAAAATAGAAAGAGAGACAAATAATAAAAAATGTCCCAAAATGGAATGCGAGATAGATAATAAAGAACGGAGGAAGTATTTAAGAGTTCAAATTTAAAATTTATATGCTTTGAGTTTGTAATTATAAGGAATCAATATCGTCAGATTTAAAACAAAGTGTAGTAAAAAATATTTAAAAAATATATATTTATATTTTTTTTGTAAATATAAAATAAATAGTGGCAAAATTTAGTGACAGAAATTCCGTCACAAAACATAGTGGCTGAGACATCCGTCACTAAATTCCGTCTTCAATTTGTGACAGAAATAAAATTCCGCCACTAAACATAATAGCTTCCAGGTTTTAGTGACAGAGAGTCCGTCACAAATATCCGCCAGTAACCCATTTTGTGGCGGAATTAGTGACGGATTTTCTGCCACTAAATTCCGTAAATTCTTGTAGTGGTCACTCCCACCCCCAACCCCAACCCCTCCTCCATTTGCATGCACCATGCAGGATTTCCTGCTCCAGCTCCCATGATCCCATCCATGTAAAAATCGCACACCTCTTCTTTGGTGTTGGCTGCTAAGTAAACGTTCAGCTTTGTCTTGAACCCGAAAAGAGATGCTTTTTTCAGCCTAAAAAGGTCTTTTGAGTCTGTGCTTTTACCCCTGAATACTTTCCATTTACTGTGTAGACTAAGGATGTTTTTACTTGGACTGTAATTTGCTGGTCTGGTCTGGTCTGGTCTGGTCTGAACTGGTCTGGTCTGGTCTGGTAAGGTCTGATTTCTTTGTATTTTTATAACTATCCAAGTCTGGTCTGGTCTGAACTGGTCTGGTCTGGTCTGGACTAGTCTGGTTTGGTCTGGGGCAAATTACAGACCAAGTAAAAACATCCTAAATAGCTGTAGTTTGAACAAAGGTAAAATATTTTAGATAAAAAGTGGATTATGCTGAAAGCCTGAAACAGAGGAGAATTCTGATGGACAAACAAAGAAAATGAATGTTTCACTATATTAAAGATAGTGGATCGATAAAAATGTGACTTTTATAATTTGGTTGAGATTAAGAAGACTTAAGATGCATAAACGTAACAGTATTTTTAAGTGTTTCTATATATTGTTGCAATTTAATACGGAGTAACATAACTCTTAAATAAAACAAACATATATCAGATCATAACTATTTCATTCTATCCGTAAATATTGTAGCCATCAATATATTCAAATTTGTGATACTCCCTCCCATTCTAAATAATCTTCATAGTTTAATTTGACTTTACGGTTTTTAAGAAAGTGGAATTTTTGTTTTGACTTTCCCATCATACTCCACAACAAGTAGATAAAGTGTAGTGGGAGAGAGAAAGTAGGTGTAAAATAGGTAATAAAGTAAGGGAACAAAAGTAACTTTATATCAAAAACTTTTCAAAAGTAGAAGAGTGTGAAATTTATTTTGGACCTACCCAAAAAAAAGTGAAATGTTTTTTTAGGACCGGAGGGAGTATAAATTAAAGTTGTACTTGGGGACCAACATTCCATGTGTTGTCCACTGTACATTGGTGACATAGATAGTTAAGGTACGTAATATATAATGTATGGTGGCGGTCTGGTGTGATTTGTTTAAATATGATCTTCTCTCGTATGATGTACTTTGTAAATGTGTGTGATTCATGCATGTGTAAAACATAACAGTATCCCTCAAATAGGACTCATTTACTCCCATTTTGAAAATTATTTTTTAATTGGGAATAAATAGGTCATATTTTGGGGAGAAAACACATTGAGTCCTATTTAGAATTTATCTATATGTTTTAGTCCATTAATTTTGAAAATTTTGTCTAATATCTGCTATTGCCCGGATTGAAATGAGTTAAATTAAAAACATATCCCATTATCCCCTACTTTATAAAATCTATCCAAATATATTATCAATTTATCATATCGAAAATTCGTAGTTTAAAAAAATAAAAAATTTCATATCAAAATATACCATCAATTTATCATATCCAAAATTCGTAATGTACGTATATGTTCATATAATGGGTATAAACTAGCTACAAATATTTCATCCGTTCTTTTTTAATTGAGATTCTCATATTTTCATATTAATTTGACAACACAGGATTTTGATTGTTAATATATTTAAATCTCTATTAACAAAAAAATAAAAAAAAATAACAATTTTGAAAATTTGTAATTAGAAATTTTTCATAAAACAAATTATTATGCATTAGTAAGTAAACTGTAGTTAAAGTAGAGATTTGAACGTGTTGCATTGTAACTAAAAAGAAAATTGATTTGCAAATTGCAGCAGTGGGGAATTTGCAAAATTTTCTATTTTGCATTAGTTGTCCCACATATTAAATTCTTCTCACCAACCAAAATAATTTTGCGCACATATCTCATCTACCACTTTCTTTCTCTACCAGATCTACTCTGCCATGTGAAATTAGAGGTAAGAAATTTATCATTTCTTAATTAAATTCTAGTTTAGTTATGTGTCTTTATTTTGAGCTTCTTAATTATATATTATTACTTCGTATATGTCTTTGGTTTGTGTTAACTAGTTAAGTAAACTTATTATTACATTCTTTATTAATTAGCCTCTTCTATTATTAAATGATTAATTTATGATGAGGTGAAATGTGAACGAAAGTGAGAGCTTTTTGTTCTTCAAGAAGCCTTGAAAGGAGAGGGAAGGGCGGATTATGTATTGGTGCTACTATAATGTATATATTATAGTGCATATTTTTCTATAACATCCAAATATAGTTTTCTACATGCGTGATTTCAGTGGCAAAATTTTCATCACTAGATGCGTCATTACCTATATTAGTGACAGATTCATTGATAAAATTTATGTCACTAAAATCCTCAAATTCTTGTAGTGATATGCTAATGAATTACTTTTTGTTCATTGAAGTATTCGGGCCTGGGTTTTTGTTATCCATTCTCACAAAATGTATCGTCATTCCCCGGAGATTGAACCGTTGGATCGTCGTGATTTTTGGACAAAAGCTTCACAGGATCTGGGCCAACATTCTGGACTGTAGTGGAGATCGGATTTTGAGGTCCGGAGGTCGGGTTTCGTTGATCTGGACAGTAGCTATTTTTCTGATGATATATTTCTTATCTTGACTCTATTTTGATTTCATACACCTTGATGTGATTACTTCCAAGGATATGATGATTATGTATGCCTCTAGTATTATCTATTGAAGACTTTGTGTTGCTCCTTTGATGATGATATTGGATTTAATTTAAGCGACCAAAATGGTCTCGTGGTTTTTCCCTAATTAATGGGGTTTCCACGCTAAAATTCCGGTGTCTTTGTGTTGTGTGTGCTTACTGTTTTTAGCTCAATATCTTGGTGCATAGCAGTGATATTGTGTTTCTTCCAATTGAATTAAGGCCACCCTATTTGTTTGCATCCTCACAGGTTCATTCAAGTTGGAAAAGTTTAGCGGAAATTAATTCCACATTTTATTAGTTCTGTTTGTGGCAGTTTTTCCCATCACCTACATGGGATAAACAGGATCATGTTCTTAAACAAAGCTGCACTTTTTATTCTAAAAGTGCTTTTTATAATCTACTTGGGACAGGCCAGGATGCAATATTTTTAGTGATATTTACTTGAGCCAAACAGGATCAACATGTCTCAGCTACTTTCAGTTCTTTTGAATCTACATTCAACTACTCAAGGCTTAGGAATACTATCCCGTCCCAAATTGATTTGCAAATTTGATTTTTTTTGTTAAACAGTTTCATTTTATTCGCATAATTAGGATGTCCATTTTTAATTATATTCTAATTTGGAATTTGCAACTTTGAAGAGATTTAATGTAGTTTCTGAATATGTAATTTTAATTATTAAAATAGAATTAATTATCGATAGAGAGGATTGACTTTTTTTATTGGTTGATCAAAGAATGTTGACTTTGGGAAAAAAAAAAATTGGGACGGATGGAGTATTTCAGTAGTGGTAATTGTGGTATTGGATGAAGAGGTACATGTGTCTATTTAAATTATGTTCTCACGTATACTCTAATCTTTCTAATCTCCCAATATTTTTAAAGCCGGTTTCCTTTACAATTCGACACTTGAGGTTAGAAGAAACGTTCTTTTACTCATTTTGTTATTCAATTTTAGTTCTTAAATTTCTTATCATCAGATCTTTTTTTTTTTTTTTTTTTAATTAGTGATTTCAATAGAATCATTTGCAAACACCGCCTAAATACAAATTACAACTTAAGTGAGTAGTTTCATTTGAATAAATCCAACTTAACTTAGAAGCTTCAACTATATAAATCCTTGAAACCAACGTAACCCACCGAAATGTAACTTCATCACTTAAAGCTCGATCTTTAACAAAACAAATGTAACAAAAAATAACAATGCGTAGTACTCCGTATCATTTAATTTTCAGCCAAAAAAAAAATATCATTTTATAATTTCAAATATACAACCACATTCTTTATATACACACATTATTTGCAATCCATGCATCCTTAATTTCTCAGCTCTGATATCCACTCTCTTTTATGTGTTTCCCATGTCTACCATGTTTCCTCCCATTTCCTGGTTCTGTTTCAGATATATATTGTCATATATAGTAAACAACAAACTGTACGTTAGCCAAAAAATAAATAACAAACGACCTACTCATAGCAGTTATCATACATGGTGAGGGTCCTGTAATTAATTACTTTTCTAATTTGACTTCACCCGTTATATATGATAAAATAGTTCTCCGTAAACTTTCCAAAAGTTTGATAGAAAACATTGATGATTAAGAATATATATAATTTCATAAATAGGAGTGAAAACGATGTTAAATTCTAAAATAGGAGCATTATATCCTGAAAAACTTGCCATATTTGGCATTACCAAGCTATGAATATGGTACTATGTAGTATAGTAGAATAAGAGACACTATTTTTCAAATATGATACCAATTACTCTTGTCTAGCGGAAAAAAATATGGTGATCCTAATTTGGAATCCCACAAAATTTTTACTCCTATTTAGGGTAATTTCTTATTAATAATTAATGATGAACTTACTTTAAAAAAAATAATGATGAATTTTTTTAATAAGAGTAAATTATATTTTTCCCTTCAAATATTATTAAAAGCGGAAATAAAAAATAGCATTAGTATAAGATTTTGATTATGAGACAACCTAAAACAAAAAGTAGAAACTTAATTGCGGATGAAGGAGGTAGCTTTTAAAGAAAATTCTCTAATTATATGATGGATAAAGGCAATAAATATGAGGAGTTTTAATCAATTTATTCTTTTAATAGAAATAAAAAGGACCTATTTAGGGAATAAAACATACTTAATTCTTATTTTGAACTTTATCTATATACTTTAGTCCTAAATTGAACAATTTCTATATATAGTTTAATTTCATTTTAGACTTAGGGTGGTCGCCTTAATATTATCCACCCTAAAGCTTATTTCATTCTTACGTAGTAGTTTTTTACATCATTCTATTATTATTGGGCATTAATACATTCCTATCAAAAGAATTTGAGTCAGCCATTAATTACCGATCTCTGCCGGTGGATATCCTCAAGAATGACAACAAGAGAAACGATGAAGGCATAATCAACGTTTGGATGGACAGCCATCCAGAAGTTGACTTTCCCAGCAGCTGTCCTCCCAGCCATGTGTTTCTTGTGCATTTGGGCAACAATTGCAGAGGACTCACTCCCACCCCCTCCTCCATTTGCATGCACCATGCAGGATTTCCTGCTCCAGCTCCCATCCATGTAAAAATCGCACACCTCTTCTTTGGTGTTGGCTGCTAAGTAAACGTTCAGCTTTGTCTTGAACCCGAAAAGAGATGCTTTTTTCAGCCTAAAAAGAAGGTCTTTTGGGTCTGTGCTTTTACCGCTGAATACTTTCCATTTACTGTGTAGACTAAATAGCTGTAGTTTGAACAAAGGTAAAGTATTTCTAGATAAAAAGTGGATTATGCTGAAAGCCTGAAACAGAGGAGAATTCTGATGGACAAACAAAGAAAATGAATGTTTCACTATATTAAAGATAGTGGATCGATAAAAATGTGACTTTTATAATTTGGTTGAGGTTAAGACGACTTAAGATGCATAAACGTAACCGTATTTTTAAGTGTTTCTATATATTGTTGCAATTTAATACGGAGTAACATAACTCTTAAATAAAACAAACATATATCAGATCATAACTATTTCATTCTATCCGTAAATATTGTAGCCATCAATATATTCAAATTTGTGATACTCCCTCCCATTCTAAATAATCTTCATAGTTTAATTTGACTTTAAGGTTTTTAAAAAAGTGGAATTTTTGTTTTGACTTTCCCATCATACTCCACAACAAGTAGATAAAGTGTAGTGGGAGAGAGAAAGTAGGTGTAAAATAGGTAATAAAGTAAGGGAATAAAGGTAACTTTATATCAAAAACTTTTCAAAAGTAGAAGAGCGTGAAATTTATTTTGGACCTACCCAAAAAAAAGTGAAAGGTTTTTTTTAGGACCGGAGGGAGTACAAATTAAAGTTGTACTTGGGGACCTACATTCCATGTGTTGTCCACTGTACATTGGTGACATAGATAGTTAAGGTACGTAATATATAATGTATGGTGGCGGTCTGGTGTGATTTGTTTAAATATGATCTTCTCTCGTATGATGTACTTTGTAAATGTATGATTCATGCATGTGTAAAACATAACAGTATCCCTCAAATAGGACTCATTTACTCCCATTTTGAAAATTATTTTTTAATTGGGAATAAATAGGTCATATTTTAGGGGAGAAAACACATTGAGTCCTATTTAGAATTTATCTATATGTTTTAGTCCATTAATTTTGAAAGTTTTGTCTAATATCTGGTATTGCCCGGATTGAAATGAGTTAAATTAAAAACATATCCCATCATCCCCTACTTTATAAAATCTATCCAAATATATTATCAATTTATCATATCGAAAATTCGTAGTTTAAAAAAATCAAAAATTTCATATCAGATCAAAATATACCATCAATTTATCATATCCAAAATTCGTAATGTACGTATATGTTCATATAATGGGTATAAACTAGCTACAAATATTTCATCCGTTCTTTTTTAATTGAGATTCTCATATTTTCATATTAATTTGACAACACAGGATTTTGATTGTCAATAAATTTAAATCTCTATTAACAAAAAAAACTAAATAAAAAATAACAATTTTGAAAATTTGTAATTAGAAATTTTTCATAAAACAAATTATTATGCATTAGTAAGTAAACTGTAGTTAAAGTAGAGATTTGAACGTGTTGCATTGTAACTAAAAAGAAAGATACATACCGGCTACTCCCCCGTTCCAATTTGATTTGCAAAATTTTCTATTTTACATTAGTTGTCCCAAAATTATTTTTAAGTTTCTATTTTAGGTATGTAAAAAAAAATAGAGTGACAAATTTATCCTTACTTTTACTATTTTTCATTAACTTAAAATCATCTACTTTTGGAAGATGGACAAAAATGTAAAAAACAACCATCATTTATTACTCCATTATTCTTTAATTCTTGTGTCACTTAAACTTTGCAAAAAAATTGGGATGGCGGCCGGGGTAGTATATGTTTAAAAATGAAGTTACGGCTCCATAGCGCTTACATTTTGTTGTAAAGTGGCGACGGGGTTGTCGGCAGCATCGAGCAAGAGTATGCGATCCCGATTAAGGAATAGGTTGCTTTTGATCTTGAACATCACGTTCCCGTCCACGCCCAATACTTCATACTTCTCTTGTTGGAAAAGTATCCTCACCTTCCTCACAAAGGCCAGATCTACCCCATACGGAGCAACGAATTCCGGGCCGATGACTGGCGCCATCGGCGCCGTCTGCTGTGGTGGGTAAGGAATGCTTGATCCGGCCATGATGATCTCAACACGTACTATAAAACGAAATAATAAGGTATGGTACGGTCGGGGTATATTAGTATATATATTACGAAGTAATATATAAATAGGTAGTACTTCGTACTATATTTCGTATGAGCTGATTAACTTAGAGATGCAGATCTACAAATGAAGATCGATCGATGTGTATGTTAATTTATTTAATTGTTGTTTATATGGATTGGATATATATCTGGTGGTGGAATTGTTCCAATGAGAAGAAACTGTTGACAATGGGTCTTAGTTCAATTCAAACACGGTTTGCAATTACTTCAAGGGGTCAGAGTTCAATTCAAAGAGGTGCGTTGACAATTCCTATATTTTGTCTCGTCTCTTGAACTAGTCAATTATGGTTGCCATGCATGACCACTTCAAAACAAAAACATACATAGTACTACATAAAAAAACTAAATTATGGTATTTGATAGGGATTTGACACATATTTTTTATATAGATTTGTCAAAATTCATAGGTATTTGACACGAATTTGGCACATATACTTAAAATCCGTGGCAAATTTCGTGCCAATGTCACTTGGCACAAGCTATTTGGCGCACTACGGCGCCGTTTCAAATATATGTTATGATCATATGTGCCCAACTCGGTCAATTTGTGTCAATATCATTGTTTTCTTGTAGTGAAATTGATTAGAACTTCTCAAAGTATGAATACATAAGTCCTGTTTTGGAATAAATCCAAGATACTTCTACTTACGAACTTTATTGTTGTTTTAGTTCCATTCAAGGAATTTTCTCATTAATATATATTTCATGCACTTTGAGAGATGTTTGTACTGTATTTTATGGGTGGAAGTTTACCTCCCAGTTTTTTCCCATGGCGCTACGCGGCTACGCCTCTTAATTTCATGTGTAATAGGTAGTATATCAATTTATTTTTTTATATTATCTGCGTGACATCAATCGAGCGAGCCAGCGAGGTGGTTTGGTTGGGGCTCTTATAAGTAGGGATGAGCAAAAATACCGAACCGGCATGGTACCGAACCAAACCGGTATTGTACCGGACCAAAAAATGAGGTTTGAAATGGATCTCAATTTTTTTGTTCCAAACCGGACCATACCGGTTCTAAACAATACCATGATCGGTTCTCATATATGAGAACCGATACCGGACCGAACTGGACCGAAGTATGATTTAATTATTTAAATTTACATTTATACCATTACTTTGTCTAGTGTCTTCAAACTTTCACCGTCTTTGCTAGTTCATATGAAGCCTGGAACCGGACTAATGTATGAATTAATTATTTAAATTTGTACTATTTTAGTTTATTTGAAATTTATTAATTATGTAATGTTACCTCCATCCAAAATTGATTTGCAAAATTAACTTTTCTTGGTCAAATAGTTTCATTTTATTCACTAAATTAGGATGTCAAATTTTAATTATATTTAATTTGAAGTTTGCAACTTTGAAGAGATTTAATGTAGTTTCTCAATATGTAAATTTTAATTGTTCAAAATTTAATTAATTATCAATAAAGAGGATTTAACTTTAACATTGATTGACCAAAAAGTATTGACTTTGCATGTCAATTAGGGAAGGAGAGAGTATGAAAATTGATAAATTATGTGCATTTTTGGAGGATGACTAAACATTAATTTCCCCTTAAACATTTGAAAAAATGGCATTGTTTGGTATTGATATGACATGATACCGTCTCGTTTGAAAATGAAACTGTACCGAACGGGTTTAGGTCTAAGATCGAACCAAACCAAACCGTTTCAATAGTGACAATCCGGGTACGGGTTCGGCCAAATATTGGACCGGACCGGACTGCGTCCACCCGTACTTAAGTTTATGTTTCTTACCCATATGTGCTAAATTGAAGGTAGTTAGGGGTGGGCCAGGTCTAATCAGGTCCCAGTTCAGCATCGGTTTATGCTGGTTCTAGTCGACTTGGGAGTCCAAGTTCGAGTCCCCACACTTAACAAGTTAATTAACATATTTAATTGTATATACTCCGTATAACATTTTAAAATTTAGAAGACTTGCCCTTTTATTGAAGTTCCATGTGTACTTATTATCATTATAACTTTTAATGATATAGAAATCAATGTTAACATAGTTCTTTATTTTTCAATTTTGCTATTGATACACTCTGCGGTAGGGCAGTCTGAAAATAACAAATCGAGGATGTTACTTGGACTGCAATTTGTTGGTCTGATATGTTTAAGTTCAATCTGGTCTGGTTGGTAAACGTCTGGTCTCTATGTATTTTATAACTACAGATATCAAGTCTAGTTTGGTCTGGTCTATTTAAGTTTGGTCTGGTTTGGTTTGTTTAAGTCTGATCTGGTCTCAGACTAAAAGCAGTCCAAGTAAAAACTTCATGAATCAAAGTAAACCGGGCCGAACCATAATAATCAAATTAAACTGGACCACTAATATATAAGAAACCGAAACCGAATGTAAAAACTAAACCGTAGTTGTTTGGTTCAGTTTTGTTTTTTACCCTTCAAAACCGAATAAATCGAACTAATCAAAATATGAAGTTTAATGTATTAATTGTTAAGCATTAATCATATATCATCATCTATGATTTTCTTGTACTAGAAAGTTAAATTTTGTATTATGTTTAGTTTATAAATGCATTGGCACATTCATTGCCTGTAATAATGTAACTATATTCATGTATTATATCTTTTATATATCTATTTTGAAATTCGTTGCATGATTGTGATATACTACTTATTTTTACAGGTTATTACCAGTACCTTTTATTTTCATGTAACTTAAAGTTTTTATATTGATAAAACAAATAAATATTTGTCTCGGCCATATCACATATATAGAACATAAATGTTCATGAACTTTTTTCAAACTAGTTAGAGAAATGTATATAATGAAGATATTCACTTTTATTCCAAAAAATTGGAAAACTGTATCAATTTTCCCACATATTAATCATACGGAGTATAATTTAAGACACATTTATTTGAAAATTGACATGTACATTCCTAGTCACCGAATATGTCACATTTTTTTTTATTTTTTTTTAAATAAGTCATTTTTTGACATTTTTCAATTATTCCCTCTGTTATGGATGCTAGTTGTGGCATTCATAGCTTTGTCTGGCTTTTTAAAAAAATACAAAACCTACTGACGTGCACTTTGTCGTGAGTGCACTCAAAGTAAATTCAACACTAGCACTTATACGTAGTATAGGTGAAGTAGAGTTCGTATCCACAGGGAAAGGAATAACTTTCTTTTTATATAAATGGTAAGTGAAGGGGGGTTTTGATTGTTGAGTGATTTAATTAAATTTAAACACGAAGATGAACGATTTATATGGGATTTAATTCAAAGATAAAATTGACTTGGTATTGCTACTTTCCACTTGTTGATATATTTTAGTCGATCATTGTTATATCTATAACTTATCTCCTCTCGAATACTCAATCGAGGAGTATATCCAATTCATCGAGGATAGTTATTAACAACGACCGTTCATTAATAACCCTTACTATTAGTCAAGTATAGAACAACGCCATATATCGACTTGATAGTAGCATTTAATCTTTTAACTCCTTGATGAAATCAATTGAGATTGATAACCTTAACACAACGGTTTCGGTTTAACCAACAAAATTAATCCCTCTTAAGTCTATTAACCACGACCGTGCATTAATAAACCGAAGTTACTTACTTGTGAAACTATCAATGATTAACCATCGGTTCGTTGATCATTTATAGTAGTAATTAATATTTGAAACAAAACTAGTTGATCCTTTAAGTAATGTTCAAAATATTAATATGAAATATGAATAGGAATTAATTAATACTCAAGGAAGAATATTAAAAGGGAATGAATCCTACTATAGTTAAATATCAAGATGTTAACTAATTGTCATCTTAGTAACACTCCCCGATATTAACATAGGGGAAGGAATAGCTATTACTAAAACCAATGTCAAGATGTTAACTAATTGTCATCTTAGCAACACTCCCCAACATTGATATAGAAATAGTATTTGAAGGAAGAATTAATATTCAAGGAAAGAAGTTAAGAAAATAACTCACAACTTTAATAATCAACAAGCTTCAAGAGCAATACCAAGAAATGGAAGTTTAGCTCCTCATTTGGAGACTAAACATGCTAAAAGAAGTATAAAGAAATGCTATTCTAAACTGAGCTTAAGAGTATAAAGGAATTGGTGTCTTAAAGTGAAGGAAAGGAGGTGTATTTATAGGTTTTTTGGAGTGCAGGCCGAGTACTCGATCGAGTATGTACATATACTCGATCGAGTATGTGTAGAAACCTGAATTTGGTCAATACTCGATCAATACTCGAGTAGATTTTATATGTATACCCGATCGAGTATGTCGGTGTACTCGATCGGGTATGACAATAGAACGTGGCCAAATCTTTCCTTGCATGTTCATTTGTTCCCGGATCGGATCCTTGAAAATCAGTATTGGTACTCGATCGAGTATAAGGTATACTCGACCGAGTATACCCCAAAATCAGGAGTTTTTCCTTCTTTTTGTATTCTACTCTTGCACCTTCCTTCACCTTTGATCATTTGATTGATCTTGGACCTGTTTAAGCTCAGAATAAACCTAATCTAAACAAATTACAAGAATTTAACAAACTAAACTATTACACCGAAAGTGTGTAATTTCCGAAATATTAAACAACCAAAACTAACTAAAAACGTAAATAAACACACGGAAATTACAAACGTATCAACTCCCCCACACTTAGTTCTTTACTCGTCCTCGAGTAAAGTCAAATGTTTCAAACAGTTTAAGATCATTCCATGAGTTCAAAAAGGAACTAAGATCACCAAGAAATAAGAAAATGATTTTTACAAAACAACATTTTTTTTT